GTTTCCCTGGTGTGAATATTCTGCAACAATGCATAAGATTCTAATAAGATTACTGACATTTAGAAATGGGAGGAAAGGAGCTAAAGGTGTAGGGAAGGTGTGATACGTAGGGGAAGAACAAAAAGGGAAAAGAAAAAAATGTGAGAGAATGAAAAGATGAAAATAAAGTGTTTGTAGATGGGGAGGGGAGGGGGGGGTGAAGGGAGGGCAGAGGTAAGGGGAAAAATGAGAATCAAGACTTGCCATGTAAAGGTACATGATCCCAACAATGAATGTAACTGTACTGTATCCCTAAATGTACCAATAAACTCAATAAAAAAAAAATGGCATTGGAGATTGAATGCAGGGCTGTTGTCCAGAACTACATCCCTAGCCCTTTTATTTTTATTTTGAGGCAGGATCTTGTTGAGTCACTAAATTTTCCAGGCTGGGCTTGAACTTGCAATCCTCCTGCCTCAGCCTCCCAGAGCGCTGGGATTACACATGTGCACCACCATGCCCGGCTTCAGATATGGTTTTTTACATTGTTGATTCTTTTTAGCCAAAAAGGAGGGGCAGAATTTTGTTTTGGTTCATAATTTTACCTTCAGCAAAATCCTCACTGCAGTGTTATGAATAAAAAACTTCATTAAAAACTTAATAGCCTTTGGGCACCGAAGACATAAATGAGATATAAATGAATCTGACAGCAGAGGAAGGTCTTACGTAATGGACAGCACTGAACTTCAGGGTGGGCTCAGATGGAGCCTTATTGACCAACTTACCGCCACCAGGTATCGAGCTTTTATGTAATTTCACAGAAGAAAGGAAAATCAATATCAAATTTCCTCCTTTGCTCATTTTTCCGCATTTCCTGAGAACAGCACCACTAAAATAAGTAACGGGTCCTCGTGGATGTGGTAGAGGAGGTGCCCTCTTCTCCAGAAATAAAATTTTAACTAAAAGCTTTTGTCTCTGGGACGCTGAGCTTTCCTAAGCGCCCCTGCTTCCATCCTCTGATCCGAAGCACAGCCTTGCGGCTTTGCACCCATACATCACACTTCTTCTCACAGAGCAAATGGAAAGCACTGTACTCCTTCCTGTGTCCCCAGGGGTCTCTGCTCAAATTAATAACCCGTGTACACGCCACCCCACAAAGCTGTGCTGCAGCGTTTAATGTATTCCACATTAGGATGCTATTTTCCACGAGGTATTTTTTTATTCTCAAAGTAAAGGAAGTCACTGTCAAAGAAATGACGCATTACTAAATGCACCACTAAAAGCTCATTGGTATAGGCTGTGGTGCAAAGTCACGTTCTTCTGGAAGACACTGGAAAAGTAGGCAGGATTCTCAGTTCCAGCACTGCTTATCTTAGGACCAGATATCTTCCCTCTGGATAAAATGAAACCATTTTCCCAAGTATTTCCTTGTCTGATCTGTGCACGCCTGCTGGGAACCAAAGGGTAGAAATGCTGTTTGGCTGCTGTGTTTTCCCAGGGGTTGGTGCTTAATGTTTCTCTAGGATTCCAGCCTCTGTTCTCTGAAGGAGAACCCAGAAGGCTGGGCTTAGATGTTTGGTGGGTTATTGATGGTTTCAGTCATTTTAGTGATTGTAATAATAGGTGAGACTTGCATAATTGATCCAACTGGACCTCCTGTACTGTCAAAACACCAGCCTCACACCCTATTGTGTTGATGGTTTTTAAGTAAGAGCAGTATAAAAAAAGGCAGATCCAGTGCTCACTTTGGCAGTACATATGCTTTAAAAAAAAAGGCAGATCTTTTACTCCAGGAGAGCCTTTCAGGGGTGCTTCATAAATGATTTGAAATAAAAGCAGAAACAAGGCAGACCCTGCTAATGCCAAATTGAACAGTACATGCCTATAAGCCCAGCTACTCAGGAGGCTGAGCCAGGAGCATTGCAAGTTCTAAGCCAGCCTGGGCAATTAGTGAGAACTTGTCTCAAAAGAAAAAGAAAAAAAAAAAGAACTGGACATGTGGCTCTGCGGTATGGCTCCTGCCTAGAATGTGTGAGGCCCTGGGTTTGGTCCTCAGTACTGCAAATAAAGAGAGCAATACAGTGTGGCAGAGAGACAGTGCACAAGAGGTAAAAGACGAAGCTGGGTGCGAGGTTGAAGGCTTACACTTCCGCAGGCTCAGCCAGGAAGATAAGAAGGTAAGGGTTTAGCCTGGGTAATTTGGGGGGGTACTGGGGATTGAACTCAGGACCTCATGCTTGCCAGGCAGGTGCTGTGCCTCTGAGCTACATCCCTGGCCCTTAGCCTGGGTAATTTAGTGAGACCCTGTCTCAAAATAAAAAATAAAAAGGGTTGGGGGTGTGGCTCGGCGCTTAGGTCCTGGAAAAGCTTTTTGTACAAACCTTACTCAGTTTTAAAGAGTTCACTTGCCCCTTCCCCTGCAGCATCAGGAACCCTGCTTAAATGCAGTCCCTCCCATTCTGCTTTCCTTGCTGATACGCATGTGTTCAGATCCAAAACCCCAGCCCTGGAAGAAGAGGCCGGTGTCTTGTCACTTTTCTTCACAAAGATCTCTGCTATCAGCCAGACGTGGGCCAAGGAATTGGGCCTAACATTTTTCAAGAACAAACAGTACTTTCAGTGCTTTGTTGAAGTCTCAGCCACACCCTCCCGCCAGAGGCACACACTTTACAAATGCTGAAGAAAAAGCAAACAGGGTTGTGAACTAGAAGCCACAGTGGTGATTTCTCCCCGGCCCCAGCGGGGCTCCTGCCTCTCAGCCTAGCAACCTGCCTTTCTGCATAGTCCACTGAGAGTCCAAGATTCACTCCCACTCTGGACATTGGGCAGAAGTCCTATCTCAGAGGAGCAGCAGGCTGGGGGTTACAGGGTGGAAGATTCCTATCCTGGGAGCCTGGACCAGAAGAAAGCAAGAGAAAACACCCCGGACCAACAATGGTCACTTTGTTTATTGTTTCACCCCAAGGAGAGAAGTGGGCTGATGTAAGAGAAAGAGAATGCACTTGGAGATTTGCTTTTAAGACCAGAAAGCCCAGCCTACGCTGGAAGACCAAAAAAAGATATTTTGTCTGTCTTCACAGAGTTCAAACCAATCAGCCAACAAAGCCAGCTTTCTTCACAAATGCTTGGCCACTACAGTACTCAAATTATAATTTTTCTGTGTCTTTAACCCTAAACAGTTAAGCTCCTCTGAAGGCAGTGTTGCCTGACCACCCCCCTTGCCGGGTTTAGAGACATTATCACAATCCTAGACAAAGTGCACTGCGGAATGGGGGCGGGCTGCGGAGAACTTCTTCCCCAGCGAAAATGCCAGCTTTCCCCAGTAAATGGGAAAGCCAGAAAATGTGTAACAAGAAACAAAGGGCCAGCTTGGAATGAGAAGTAATGTTTCTTACATCTCCCACTCCTGCCACACGGGCAGCCACACACACACACACACGCACACACACACACACACACACAGACACACACAGGCATTCCTGTTTTGTCCAGACAAATAGAAATGAGAATAAAATTTTAATCACAGCAAGAGCCACTGCAAAAATCAAAGCCAAAAATCCCCAGGCAAAACTTTGCCTCATTTCTACTCTTTGACAAGAATCCCTA